TGTAGCGACCGAATGCTTCTGATCTCTGTTTCTGCACTCCGACACAGACACTCCCGCAGACGGTCGCTGATAGGTGGCGTCGGAGTACGCAAAAATTGCTGATGATGAAATCATCATCGGAGAGGACAGCTCTGGACAATGTTTTTCGGGGTAAATGTTCTGCCAAGCCTATGACTTCCATTTTCCTGTGGGCTTAGGCACTTAGGCAGACCCTTCAAAGGGAACCCCTTCTCAACCCTCTTCTGGTGCTATCAAGGAGGGATATTGAGAGCTCTTTCCCCGAAGGACCCCTACCCAGAGACTCCAAAACCCCTTAATTAAGGAATATACCTCAAATCATATTAGGGATCCTACTATAATTTAAGGCATATTCCTTAATTAAGGGGTTTGGAGTCTCTGAGTACCTCCTTGAATTGCGAGCGTGCATCGGTCGCTGTATCCCAAGTCGTTGCTAGAAGCCCTGGAAGCTGAACCCTAAGCCCTAAACGCTAAGCCCTAAACGCTAAGCCCTAAACCCAAAACCCTAAACCCAACACCCTAAAGCCAAACCCTAAGCCCTAAACGCTAAGCTCTAAACCCCAAGCCCAAAACCCAAAGCCCTAAGCCCTAAACGCTAAGCCCTAAACCCAAAATCGCTAAGCCTTAAACCCTGAACCCTAAACCCTAAACTATACCAAGCTCAAGCCACTTGGGAGTTTCAGAAAATTAGGGTACCTTATTTTGGGGTCCTTATAATAGGGATCCTATTAACTTGGGTACTATATTAGGGTCCCCTATTTTCGGACACCCCCTAAACCCTAAACCCTAAACCCTAAACCCTAAACCCTAAACCCCACGTAGAGCCAAGAGCTGGTGCCCTAGGAAGATGGAAGCTGGCTGGCAAGACTGGAGCAGATCCTCAGTAGCTGAGTGAGTTTGGGGTTTAGGAGTTAGGATTTGGGGTTTAGGGTTTAGGGTTTAGGGCTCAGTAGCTTTATGAGTTTGGGGTTTAGGGTTTCGGGTTTAGAAGCTTGGGATTAAGGTTTGGGGTTTAGGGTTTAGAAGCTTGGGATTAGGGTTATTTAGGGCTCAGTAGCTTTGTGAGTTGGAGTTTGGGGTTTAGGGTCTAGAAGCTTGGGATTAGGATTTGGGGTTTAGGGTGTAGAAGCTTGGGATTAGGGTTTAGGGTTTAGGGTTTCGGGCTTAGAAGCTTGGGATCAAGGTTTAGGGTTTAGAAGCTTGGGATTAGGGTTTAGGGCTCAGAAGCTTGGGATTATGGTTTAGGGTTTAGAAGCTTGGGATTAAGGTTAGGGTTTAGAAGCTTGGGATTAGGGTTTAGGGTTTAGGGTTTTTTGGGATTATAGAACTGAAAGTTTACACTTTTGGGGGGGCCTATGAACTCAGCAACTCAGGATCGGTGAGGCGGTGGTGCTAACTGCAGTGGATGAGATCCCTATCGCCGCTGGGATGATTGATGAAGGTTACGTAGGCTTAAGGGTTTAGGGTTTAGGGATTAGGGACCCTAAACTCTAAACCCTAAACCTTAGGATGTCGAGATTTGAGTCTTAAATGCTCTAAGCCCTGAGCTTCAAATCCCAATTCTAGAGCATCCCGAGTTCATGTTTCTGCAGTCTAAAACTCTGATGAAATCGTAAAGGCCCCTATAAAGCCCTTGTAGAGCCGTCGAGGAAGCCCCTAGATCCTAAACCATCCTAATTAATCCCTAAGCCTCTATAGTTTCAGATTCGGAACATCCCAGGTTGGCGGGGTATTGTCAAACCTTCTCAGCTTGGTCTGGCCTTCCTCCGACGACGAGTATGATATCTGGGCACTCATCATCGGCGAGGTCAAGGAGTCTGGGTTCTTAGGAGTTTGCTCGTTCGAGGGTATATATATAGAATTACGGTTTTAGGCTTGAGGCAATTTAGGATGTTGGGGCTTACGGTTTTGGGGGTCCTGGGGTTGGAGGTTCAGGGCCTGAGCAAAGCGATTGTTTGTAAACAGGCCTTGTGTTTACAGTCTATGTTTATAAGCACGGCAAGGGAAAAGTAAAGGGCGCATTCAATCAACCAAAGCACCATGACAAGAATGCCGGGCAAGGCGTCGCAAACAGTTCAGCGAATGATCCATGGACAGAAGGAACTTGAGCAATTAAGCATCACGAGCCCTATCGGAAGACGTAAGACACGACAGAAACTCCTCATGCGCAACTACAGGTGCCCGGAGCGACCCTTCCGTAGGGTATAGCGCTCCGATTAAGGAACTTGCTCTAAGTTTTCACCGTTTCCTGTGGTGGCAACTTAGGGTTTAGGGTTTAGAGTTTAGGGTCACTAAACCCCGACCAACCCGGCTGCAAGTCCTTGTGATACCGATAACAGCCTAGGGCAACTCAAAAATGAGCTGCTTGGCCCTGATGTTCGTCGCGATAAGGCCGTGTGACACCTTGAGGAACCCATTTGGGAGTTTCCAAAAATTAGGGTACCTTACTTGGGGGTCCTTATAATAAGGGTCCTATTATTTAGGGTACTATATTAGGGTCCCCTATTTTCGGAAACTCCCATAAGGCCGTGTGACACCTTGAGGAACCCATTTCCTCTCCCAAAACCCTAAACCCTAAACCCTAAACCCTAAACCCTAAACCCTAAACCCTAAACCCTAAACCCTAAACCCTAAACCCTAAACCCTAAACCCTAAACCAAAACCTAAGACTTTCCCAAAGTAACGTCAGACAAAGCACTGCAGAACCCCATAACATAAAAGTTAGCACCTTGTCAAGACACCATTGCCTTCAACATAGTCAAAAAAAACCACACGACGCCCCTGAAAATTCTAGAAAATCTGTAAAGACTCAGGCGAATTCAAATCTTTAAAAAAATTGAAAACCTTACAAAAGAACAGGAACCCACATTACAACCCTGTATCACCCCACAATCGACCACAGCACCCTATGAAGAACATCTAAACCCCGATAAACGACCAGCACACCCCGTTCAGCCCCTCTACAAAGCCTCTAAACCCTACAGCCGAAACCCTAACGCCTAAACCCTCAAAGCCTGAACCCCGTACAGGGGACGCTAAAGAACTACAGGGAACCCGATTATAGAGCCCTAGCCTACCCTTTAAGGGCTCCTTTCAAGGGAAGAAGCCCTAAACCATCAAACCATTAAACCCGAAACCCTAAACCCCAAGCCCTAAGCCCTAAGCCCTAAATCCTAAACCCTAAACCCTAAACCCCAAGCCCTAAACCCAAAACCCTAAATCCTAAACCCTAAACGGAGGAGCTGGTCGACGTGGCGATCCTGGAGTTCGAGCTGTCGGAGCGGGAGGGCGATTTCTTGGGCGGCGAGGCCGCGATTAGGGTTTAGGGTTTAGGGTTTAGGGTTTCTTCCGAGTGCCGGAGACATGTGGGGGTTTCGGGGTTCCCAGAGACTCCAACATCCCTTAATTAAGGAATATACCTTAAATCTTATTAGGGTTCCTACTATAATTTAAGGTATATTCCTTAATTTTGGGATATTGGGGGTTTCGGGGTTTAGGGCTCTGAGGGTTTAGGGTTTAGGAGCGAAGGGTTGGTTTAGGGGTTCAGGGCTTTGAGGGTTTAGGGTTTAGGGTTTAGGGTTTAGGGTTTAGGGGTCTGGGGTTGAATGAGGGGTTTAGGGCTTCCCGAGTTTAGTGTTTAGTCTAGAGTTCGCAACAGTTTGAAGTTCACTCCGGGTTGAGGGCTATTGTCGAAAACTGACTGAGGATTGCGACGGGATCTGACCCGCTACACAAGGGCCAACACGGTTACGGAGAAGGGCAACGACCTCACCGTAGCATTGGCCAAGGTGGAAGACTTGATTCTCAGTAGTACTGGCAGTGTAGGGCCAATGTAGGGGTTTCAGGGTTTAGGGATTAAGGTTGAGGGTCGAATCTGGGGTTCTTGGTGATAAAGGAGGTCCAGAAGGGTTCTTTTGCAGTTGCATACGTTTACCATAGTCCCTGTATACGTGTACTATAGTGTACCCAACCCCAAACCCTGAACCCTTGATTCTGGGGGCTTAGTTTTCGACTCAGGGGCTACCAGACGACTAGGGCCTAGGGGGTTTCCCTAGGAGGGCATCCTCTCGATTCCTTTCTTTGACCCAAGAAGGGTCTCGTTTCGGGTTTAGAAACCCTAAACCCTAAACCCTAAACCCTAAACCCTAAACCCTAAACAGGTTTTCAACGGCCAGCCAAGGATTGCCCACCTCACTATCTCGACGAACAAGTACCAGCTGCTTCCCCTTACGATTGTTGCTGCAACCATCCACTGCTCCATCCTCAAGGAGGGGCCGAGAGCAGCACCCACTGTAGGGGCTTCAATAATTACCAATATTATTTTGGGGGTTGCTTATTATAACTAGAGTGAAATATACTCCCCAAAACCCTATTCTAATCATTAAGGACCCTATATTAACATCCCCACGCTGGAGAGGTTGCAATAGTTTATGTTTGGGTGCCTTCTCTGGGCCCTGAAGGAGAGAATTACAAGTGGCAAAAGTCTTTATGGCACGCAAGACCCGAGTTGGGACTATGCCCTGCAAGCAGCCGTGTCCTACTACCAGACCCCAGCTGGCACTGTGGGCAAGGTTGTCGAATATTCCTTGTGGGACCCGTTTAAATTTTCAAAGCCCGGTGCCAACTCAACCCCTGAAGCACTGAAGCCCGAGGACCACTACAAGCATTCCCTACCCAGGACCTTCTTCAACTTCACCTATGACCTTTGGAAAGATTGGAGGAAAACCAAAATCGAGACTTCGACTTCCCAGACTGGAACCCGGCGCCGGAGGTGCTGCACTGGCTGTGACGTGACTGTGACGGATGAGCTGACCAACAATAAGCACCTGGCTTGCCAGTAGTAGCCCTTGTTTTCCGGTTTTTTTTTGAGCTCCGTTCAAGGTTACTAGGACAAGGGAATCCAGAAGCAAGGGGTTACTGGGGAACGCAGGTACAGCCTTCATTGGTCCAACAACGACGACATCTGTGACACGATTGCAGAGATGACGGCGTCCCGAATCTTGAATGAGGCATGCGGCTACATGGCGAAGGCCCAGAGACTCCAAAACCCCTTTTTAAGGAATATACCTGAAATCATATTAGTGATCCTACCAAAAAATTTAAGGTATATTCCTTTTTTAAAGGGGTTTTAGAGTCTCTGAGGCGCTGCAGCCCATCATGTACCTGCAGCGGTACATTCCTGGGATGGAGTCTGCGAAAGTTCAGGTCCTTCCAGCTGTGGAGCAGGTTACCGTGGGGCCATATGCGGCGGTGACCCAAGACACTGAGGACGGTAGCGAACTGAAGTACAATAAAGATGCAATGTGGCATCTGGGCTCCAATGTACATCATCCATTCTAAACCAGTCACTTCACTTCCCATGGCGGTTCCGACGAGCGGATCCACTGATTCTAAACCAGTCTTGAATTGAACCTAAAGCTGCATTGTTTCAAGATCGAAGGTATGCCAACGAAGACGGGGAGATCGGTGATATCACCACGACAAGTGTTTGGGCCTACAACGTGATTGAGTCTCCTTTCAACAGTACCCTTTTCATTCCGGCTCCTGGTAGGTTAGTTAGTTAGTTACCTGTACATTCATAGGAACTCCCAGTCGTTTTTGCCTTATGAGGCCTGCCTAAAACCATAAACCCTAAACCCTAAACCCTAAACCCTAAACCCTAAACCCTAAACCCTAAACCCTAAACCCTAAACCCTAAACCCTAAACCCTATTCATGACCCTGCAGTCTTCTTGAGTCTATGCGGTCGCCCCGAACCTGGAGCTGCCAAAAACCAATAGAGACCCCAAAGGCCCAAAACCCTAAACCCAAAAAGGCCCAAACCTAAACCCCTAAGCCGTCAGAAGGGTTTTGGGGCTTAGGGTTTAGGGTTTGCGGTTTGGGGTTTACGGTTTAGGGTTTAGGGTTTAGTCTTTTGAGAGTTTTTGACAGCCCCTTGAAGCGAGGATTCCTTTCGCCTGCAGTTCTCGGACGGCGGAGAGGAACGGGGTGGTTCTTCCACAGGTGGGACGGAGAATTCCTACGACCTGGCGGCGACTGGGTTCTTGTTAAGGAACTTAATGGAAGTTACCGTCATAGGGGATCTATAGCAAAGAAATCGGGGTTTCCTTATTATGGCCGCCGAAATCAAATCCCTTAACAAGAACCCAGGACAGGTACATCACTGCCGTAACGATGTACTTCCGGGATCCCAGCTACTTCTATCCATCGGGCGAGGTGGTGAAGATGTCACTGAGCTTTTCTGACGGGACCTCCACGGGGAAACTAGGTGGCTACTCCCCCACCATCGCCGCCAATCCAGTGGGTATGACGGCCACTGTGGCGGATGATGCCTCATATAAGATGGTGGGCGCCACGCTGGGGTCCAGTAAGGATGGCTACTTCGGCTCCTTTGCTCAACAACTGGAATCATGGGAGCAGGTGTATCCTAAACCCTAAACCCTAAACCTTACTGGGACGTCTAGGCTATCTGGAAGCAACTTTCCAGTTTGTGGAGCTGGATCTGTGGCAATCCGTGACATCCGCAGCCTCCAGCAACTGGATCATGTTGAGAGTTCAGGGTTTTAGGGTATAGGGTGTAGGGTTGAGGGTTTAGGGCTTGGGGTTGTTTGCTAGACCCCACTAAGGTTCCATTGGACTTGAGCCCTTCACCCTAAACCCCCAAAGAGCTCCTTGTGGCTTTAGGGCAGGATGCTGTTTGCTTCTGACGGTTTTTTGGGATAGCTCTGTCTACGCTAGCTGTCGTCTATCGGTCGGAGGGATTATGTGCTTACCCTGTTCTTACAACCCCTGCTTCCGCTCATATAGAAGCCTGAATAGTTTGCCTACGGGTTTAGGGGCTTGATTTTTGATCATGTTAGGGAAGCCTCAGGAGTACTGTCTGCAAAAGACATGAGCCTTCATAACCTTAAGCCCCAAACCCCAAACCCTAAATCCTAACCCTAAACCCTAACCCGAAACCCGAAACCCCAAACCCTAAACCCTAAACCCTAACCCTAAACCCTAGACCAGGAACCCCTGGTCGAACCC